GACGGAACCCCATACGATAATGGTGCAAAAGAACACCAGCAAGCCGAACGTCTTCCAAAATACGAAAACATTAATTTAGAAAGAGCTAAAGTAAATGCTTTTGGCACCAAAGTTTTAATCTCACTCCCAATTAAAGTAGATAATCAAACAATTGTAGACTCGGACAATGTAAAAAAATTGTATTGAATCCCTCCTAGATGTAACGGGAGAAATAAACCTTAAATCATTCAGCATGCGTAAGACAGATCGTTTCGATGATATTCCCTGGAACTACATTCAAAGGCAATTCGTAAGACATTTCGAAGATAAAGACATTAATATAACAATCTGTAAAGGACTGATACAAATTCGCAGAGAAGAAAATAGACAAATGCTTATAGAAGAAAACCACTCGTCTGCGATAGGCGGACATAAGGGAGTTACGAAAACCTACAATAGATTAAAGACAAATTTCTCATGGCCCAACATGAAAAGAGATATCCAGAAATTTATTCAACAATGTAGGGAATGCCAATTAAAAAAATTAACACGAATCAAAATTAAGCAACCTATGATCATTACGGACACACCAGGAGCCGCAAAATTTTCGACAAAATCTCATTAGACATATTGGGACCTTTACCCGCAACTAATAAGGGAAACACACACATCCTGACAATCCAAGATTTACTCACAAAATATTCGGTAACAATTCCTCTGAAAGAATTAAATTTGTTGGCAATAGCCGATGCCTTCACTAAAGATTTCATTTGCATCTACGGAGCTCCCAAAGCTCTCTTAACTGACCAAGGTTCCAATTTCTTAACTTCCATAATGAGAAACCTCTCAAGAAAATTTGGCATTAAGCAATATAAAACCACAGCCTACCATCCTCAGTCTCAAGGCTCCATCGAAAGATCACACCATTCACTAATAGAGTACTTGAAAACACAAATTACAAAAGAAAACAATTGGGACGATTACTTAAGTCTAGCCATGTTCTCTTACAATACCAGCGTACACGAAAGCACCCAATACACCCCTTTCCAATTAATCTACGGACGAATACCTCGTTTTCCCTCATCACAGAAACCACTTGAAGAAAATTTAAAACCAACATACCAAAAATACTTTTTTGATTTATTCCAGCGCTTACAAGAAACCCAAGAAGAAGCTAGACAAAACCTAATCAAATCAAAGTAAAGAAATAAACATTACTACGATAAGCGCATTAACCCCGCGAATTTTAAGGAAGGAGATTTCGTATTCTTATTAAAAGAACCCGTTAAAGGAAAATTCCCAGACCAATATACAGGACTATACAAATTTTCAGAAATATTGCCAAACAATAATATCACTATACAATATGGAAGAAGAACACGCACAGTACACATGGACAAGTTAAAGTTTTCTCATATAGAACCAGGATGAACAAAACTAATCAACACCTCAGTTTCAGGGTGTTCCTGATTTTTCAGACCACAGCCCGTGGAGACCGTCCGCATTTCACCTAACGTCACCGAATCAAGGTGCTTACGGACGGAAAGCTTCAAACACATCTCCACAAACCTGCTTTTATGCAAATCTCATATTCTTAATAACTCAACTAGTACACTAACATTTTTTGAAAACTCAACATACCACTAAAAACTAAACCTCCTCTTAACTACGCTTCTATAATTCAAGATGAATAAGCTCGTTGAAATATTAGCACAATACCCTAGTATGATGAACGTAAAATGCGTCATACTAGCTGGATATAAATATCAAACCCAACCAGGGGCCCAATGTATAAAATGCTACATACGAAAATCTTGCCCACCCGGACTAAAATACGGGATATTTCATAGTTTTGCCCTTGGAGAAATAGAACAAGCCTATTGCTTGCTTTGTAATCGAGCCTATAGTACTCTGTCTTCCCTGTTTCCACAGATACAAACAAGTCTTCGACACACTCAACACTAAAGGATACCGAACAAATGAAATAACTTCCATGCTTTATAGTCATTTCACTAATCGTATTGTAAAATTCCACATTCCAGAATGTGCAGACCCAAAAGACCCGCACCCTACATCCACCCCCTCATAAAGGAATTTCCTGGCATCGAGAACGCCCGATGCACAACAGCTTTCGGTTATATAAGAAAAGGAGAATCACAGCATCCCTTATGCAGCGACTGCATGAATCGTTTAAATTTCCCTATCGAATACGGCCCTGCCTCTTGGCACAGAATAACTGAAGGAAACAATTTAATAATACCTTGCATCGGATGCAGCACTAGCACCGCGCGCACACAACCCATACGAGATTGTCAAAAATGTTATTTGGCATATATAGAAGCAATTACCGAAATCAGAATTCACATGGGAATAGATCCCGCAGACATAAGTAATTTTATTTATAATCACCAAACCGAGGAAATAATCGAACTGTCCATTTGGACAACTGAGCAACCACGAGAAATTAATATCCATCTGTTAGATAACGAAGACCCGTAAACCTCACAATTTTACATTATCACTTTACACACTATACTCAAACATATTACTATACTATAGATATAATCTAATTAAAGCTGTACCATTCTACTTACAATAATACGTTATTACAATACTATTTATATATCTATTCACGATTGTTATACACATAAGAAGACCCAATAACTCGACAATTGTAAAACGTCACTTCGACGTTA